GGAACGCAATCCTTCAATCATGACTTAAAACGACGCGCTCCATGCAGGGCTGACCAGACAAGATCGTCTGAACCGCCTGAGGAACAGACATCTGCAAGGTAACTTGCCTGCGAGGCAACTTGCTTGCAAGGGAACGTGCGTGCGGGTTGACCTTTCTTGTTGGGCCCGCCTGTTGCTGCCCACTTTGTTTAATATAGTGTTTTGCTGTGCAGCTGGCGGCGGCGGACTCACGCTTCGTCTCCTCCCCCCCGACTCTAAAGGAGGTTGGGGCAAAGGCGAGAGATAGCGAGCGCTTGTTCGCGGCCGTTTGTGCTCAAATGGCCGGCCGATGATATATGGCGGTGCCTCATCGCGAGGCGCATTGCTAGCCACTGTGACCGAAAACATCTTCGCTTGACATGGCCCGTCGTTCCCGCGACGATCTCCTACTTCTGGGGCAATTGTTATTACGGTGCCACAGAGGTGGACATGGGCTTCGCCTTAGGCGAAACGTATGGTTGGGCCCCCCAGCCCCCTTCAAACTCCTGCCCTCGTCTTGCGTCGTCATCTTTTCGGCCTCGTAGATACCAGGAGGACTAGATCTTCTCTTCGGGACGGGTCCTCACCCCGAGCCGCGCTGATTGGTCGGCCCAAGGAGGGCCGTGGCACGGGGCCTGGCACGGGCCCCTTGGAACCCGAGAAGTGTCAACACACCTCCCGTTGTGATCTTCTCCTCACCGAGGTTGCGAAACATGGAAGCGTCGTGAAACACGGTCGGACGGAGGCCCCAGGGGTTTCCAAAATTGAGCGAAAAGCTGGGGGCACCTTGGCCCAGGGGCACCTGTAGCAGCCCCCGACACTCGGTCGAGAAACGTGAGGCTCGGGCTCGGGCGACAGCATCGACGTTTTTTCCGTCGGCGGTGAGGCAGAGGTAAATTGCACCAGCGGTAATCGATTCGGGGCAACAGAAGAGCGCATTGGCCAGTATGACAGAAAGCGGCCGCAGAGGAACGGGGGAGACAGGATCGACACACATCCACCGCTCCTGGTCAGGTCGATCCCGGGCCCAGGATTGGGGTTCACGCGCCTCCTTGGCCATGCGGGGGAGGGCGTACACGCTGCTCCTGATCCCGGGATGGGCCTCGCCAGGGTCAGCGGATACAATCGGGCCGAGGCATAAGGTCGAGGTCGGTTCGGGGAGGGTGCCCTGATTCGGCGGCGAGTGAAGGGTGGAAGTGAGAAGGAGAAGGCCTTCTCAGAAAGCGGCGGGACTATTTGCGAAGATTCTCGAACGCTTATTTTGGAACAGACTGGCTAGAAGCGGCACTGACCAATGATTTTGCAACGCGCGAAGACGACTTCGTGCAATTTTCAATCGAGCACCAACAGTGATGCTCGAAGGCTCACACAGTCGCGCCCGATCCCGGGCCGAGCTTTGACTCGATCGGACTGCTTGCTTGCTTGCTTGCTTGCTTGGGAGGTTTTCAGTGTCTTCGGGAAAAGCCAAGAAAACTTTTCAGAAGGCCGGGGGACTTCCGAGCCTTCTGAGAAGGCCTTCTCCTTCTCACTTCCCCCCTCGCTCGCCGCCGACTGATGTTCTCCGTGCTTGTTGGATGTTCTTGCGCATCCTGGGGAGGGCACCCTCGACTCTTCCTCGGTCTGGGCCGGCGGGGGGTCTCGCGTTCTTGGAGGATGCTCTTCTGCCCCAGGGCCGACCGTATCACGGCTGGAGCCGTCGACCCCATCCTGCCGCGGCAGGTGTCGAATCGGCTCGATCTGCGAGGGCCCTGGGCCCCGCAGGCCCCGGCAGAAACGCTGGGCATGAAAAAGATGCGACGCCAGGGTTTCAGGTCGGGCGACGAGATCTGTGCACACCCACCGCCCCTGACCAGGGGTCTGCGGCCAATTGCGAACCCCACCCTGCCGGTATGCTCGACGCTGGGGTATTGGATGCCCCCCCCAGGGCCAATCACTTTGGCTGCAGACATCCTTCGAATTCTGAACCCCAGCCAGTGGTTCAGAAATTTGACCTGCAGGGGTAGGATTCACCTGAGCTTCGCAGGACAATGGGATCGACTGGGCGGACATTCGCGCGTATGCTGCTTGCGTAAGATGGCGCGCAAGCGCTCTCGTTTCCAAAGTGGCGTGCCGCGCTGGCGGCCTGCGTAAGCCGCGGCGTAAGGTCGCTATGTCATCGCGCGTAAGACCCGTTTGTTTTTCGTCGCTCAAGTGACCTCCCGCCCCTCGCCCCATTCGGCACACGCTGCCAAAGTACAGTCAACCCGCATAGTAAGGATGGGCAACCTTCCCAAGGGTTCCCTTGCATCCTTGCCCTTTCGGCCCATCCTTGGCGACGTTCGCTTGCCAGCCTCGTTCGAAAAATGCCAACATGGCCCTCCAATGCCGTTGTATCCTCACTGCGCATCCTTCTGATGCATCGAGGACGTGGCGGCGGGCCCTCGGCAGTGGACGGGGCAGACGACGAGGGGAGCGCGGACGAGGCCTGTAACCCGGGCACGGGGCCGGGGGCTGCTGACGGCGTCCCCGGCCCGAGGCGCCCCCAAGTACAGTCGAGTCGGCCCGTATCAGAAGGATGCGCGATAAGGATGCAAGGGCCTGGGACGCCCATGCCGAAGCTTCTCGAGCGGGGCGCGGCCAACGAAAGTTGCCAAGGACGTCGTCGTCCTCGTCGTCGTCGTCGTCGTCGTCGTCGTCGTCGTCGTCGACGGCAGCCAGGGCATCCGCAGTGCGTTGTCGTCCTTCGTCGTGATCGTGGTTGTCGTCGTCGTCGACGTCGCCAACGACTACAGCGGGCATGCGCAGCACCCCTGCCCCCCACATGCAGTATCCGAAGTGCGTTGCCGTCCGCCGTTGCCGTCGCCGTCGCCGTCGCCGTCGCTGTCGTCGTCTGTTGTCGTTGTCGTCGTCGTTGTCGTCGTCGTCGTAGGACGTTGTAGTGGAGAGGAGAGGGGGAGAAGGTGAAAGAGGAACCATTTCCGCCTTCATGTTTTGCTCCTCCCCCTCTCTTCTTTTCCTTGTTCGTAGCCATGTCGGCACCGCACGCCAGCCGAACCGCCTGTTTCCCCCCCGCGTCTTCTTTCCCACCTGTTTGTAGCCATTTTGGCCCAACCGCCCCACTATATCGGAGGCGCTGCCGTCCCCCTCCGATGAAGCGGCGTCGGTTGCGTCGCGCTTGTTGCCTTCGTGCAGTCGGCTGGGCGTCGGGCCTGCGTTAATCACCGGCGCCGTCGCCGTGTGTTTCAATTTGGCGGGCGTCCCCCCCGCGATTCGACCGAGCAGATGAACTATTTTTTAATCGCGAGCCCCCCTCACACGTTTCGTGGCCCCATAGGGAGCTCCACCGAAGGCCCCAGTGGCAGGGTCCGCATGCCTCCCCACCACCCATTTCGGCACACCCCTCACACGTTTCGTGGCCCCATAGGGAGCTCCACCGAAGGCCCCAGTGGCAGGGCCGCATGCCTCCCCACCACCCATTTCGGCACACCCCTCACACGTTTCGTGGCCCCATAGGGAGCTCCACCGAAGGCCCCAGTGGATGCCTCCCCACCACCCATTTCGGCACACCCTCACACGTTTCGTGGCCCCATCGGGAGCTCCACCGAAGGCCCCCCGCATGCCTCCCCACACCCATACCCCTCACACGTTTCGTGGCCCCATAGGGAGCTCCACCGAAGGCCCCAGTGCCCGCATGCCTCCCCACCCCATTTCGGCACACCCCTCACACGTTTCGTGGCCCCATAGGGAGCTCCACCGAAGGCCCCAGTGGCAGGGTCCGCATGCCTCCCCACCACCCATTTCGGCACACCCCTCACACGTTTCGTGGCCCCATAGGGAGCTCCACCGAAGGCCCCAGTGGCAGGGTCCGCATGCCTCCCCACCACCCATTTCGGCACACCCCTCACACGTTTCGTGGCCCCATAGGGAGCTCCACCGAAGGCCCCAGTGGCAGGGTCCGCATGCCTCCCCACCGCCCATTTCGGCACACCCCTCACACGTTTCGTGGCCCCATAGGGAGCTCCACCGAAGGCCCCAGTGGCAGGGTCCGCATGCCTCCCCACCACCCATTTCGGCACACCCCTCACACGTTTCGTGGCCCCATAGGGAGCTCCACCGAAGGCCCCAGTGGCAGGGTTCGCATGCCTCCCCACCACCCATTTCGGCACACCCCTCACACGTTTCGTGGCCCCATAGGGAGCTCCACCGAAGGCCCCAGTGGCAGGGTCCGCATGCCTCCCCACCACCCATTTCGGCACACCCCTCACACGTTTCGTGGCCCCATAGGGAGCTCCACCGAAGGCCCCAGTGGCAGGGTCCGCATGCCTCCCCACCACCCATTTCGGCACACCCCTCACACGTTTCGTGGCCCCATAGGGAGCTCCACCGAAGGCCCCAGTGGCCTGGTTCGTATGCCTCCCCAACACCCAGTTTCGGCACATCCCTCACACGTTTCGTGGCCCCATGGGGATTTCCACTGAAGGCCCCAGTGACTGGGTTCGCATGCGCCCCCACACCCATTTCGGCACACCCTTTCACACGTTTCGTGGCACCATAGGGAGCTCCACCGAAGGCCCCAGTGGCTGCGTTCGCATGCCGCCCCCACACACCAATTTCGGCATACCCCTCACACGTTTCGTGGCCCCACAGGGAGCTCCACCGAAGGCCCCAGTGGCTGCGTTCGCATGCCGCCCCCACACCAACTTCGGCACACCCCTCACACGTTTCGTGGCCCCATAAGGAGCTCCACCGAAGGCCCCAGTGGCAACGTTCGCATGCCGCCCCCGCACCCATTTCGGCACACCCCTCAAACGGTTCGTGGTCCCATAGGGAGATCCACCGAAGACGGTACTCACACCAGCATTACTCACAACTGCATATGGTTGGGTCCTTCGCCAGGCTAATTTTTAATCGCGAGCCCCCCATGTTCTTGTTAGTCACAAGCTGACATTCGTATGTCGTTTGCGTCCCGTGTGCTCTGTGCGCACGCGCGCCCCTGGTGGCAGGAACTCGAGAGGGCCAAAGAGAAGTTCGAAAAGGAGCCGCCCCCGACGGCCCCCGCAGGCGGCGGCCGACGCTGAAGGCTGCTGCCCGCTGGGCGGCAGTTCGCGGCGACGACGACGGCGATTTTGAGCTGGCTGGGCGTCTGAGGTGGTCCAGCGGTGGCTCAGGCCAGCTAAAACGGGCGGTGAAAATTCTAAGCGCTGGGTTCGATTCGTGTTTTGTTTTTTCGGTTTCCACGGGCCTTTTTCCAGGCTCCGGGACTGTCAAACACGGGTCCGAGGGAGAAAATTGCACCAGAAGGATCCAGGGAAGGGTTGGCCTCATCTCCCCCTCGTGGCCGATCTCTTGTGGGCCCATCCAGATAAAACCCTCAGGACGGCCACCCAGTCCTCTTGTCGTCGTCGTTGTCGTTTCGGACGATTTCCATTTGTTATTGTGGGTTCTTGGAGGTTTTCGGGCCCTGGTGTGCTTTACAGCGGTTGCGCCTCGCCGAAGGCGTTCCTGGAATGCCCCGATCGCCCCGAACGGCTCTGGAGGCATGAGTTATGACGAAAAAGCTGATTTCAGCCCGTTATGCAAAGCCGCGGAAGGTTTTTCCCTGTTTCTGGCCTCAGGGGGGGGCCTTGCAGCGCCCAAGGGCCCTCAAAAACGGATCTGGGTGAAAAGCCAGTCGGGGAGAATGTCTAGACCTCTGACGAAAGTCAAGATGTCGGAGGTTTGGGGGCGGCGAGGAGGACAACGGCGGCGAAGACGGCGAGATGTTGTGAGCTTCTCCGGTGTATTTGGGGGCTACCAGCAAGGTGGCGGCGGCGGTGGCGGGGTGTTGGGACGTTCTTTGGTGTCTGTGGGCGGCGGCGGCCAGCTGCGACGGTGCCCGCGGGCGGCAGCTCACGAAATCAATGATGGTGGCGGCGATGATGATGGTGATGGCGGTGGTGACGGTGACGATGATAAGGATAAGTATGAGGATGCTGCTGCTGATGATGCTGCTGCTGATGATGATGACGACGATGACGATGACGATGACGATGACGATGACGATGATGCTGACGATGATGATGATGACGATGATGACGACGATGATGAGGGTCCTGTGCTATTGTGCAACTACTGGCGTCTGGGTCAAGTACTGTAACCGCCATCAGGCGGTGTGACGCCGCTGTGTACTCTAGCGTTCGTTCACTCACTGTAAAGCAGAGTTCAATCCTCATCATCATTGTCCTGCTAAGTTTGCATGGTAGCGGAGCGAGCTTAGGGCAGCGAGGCCAGGAGTTGCTATACGTACGACAAGACAGGAATGTATTGAGTACGACCTAAACAACTTTGGGGTCAATTGTCTCACAGCCAACCAGCAAGGTGAATCTGATTTCGTCAAAGCTGCATTGCATGCTAACCAAGATGCGGCGACGCATCGCCTGGATGAGCAAAAACGCACAGGCAACCAGAAACTTGTCCACCGTTCATGCAATGTCCAAGGTGAGAATTCTAGGTCAGTCTAATGCGGCACTGCTAAGCATAATCAGCAGATAAAGCGGACACGACAGTGACGCAGCCATGGTAAGACCGAGGGTTGCCGAACTTGAAAAAGAGTAATCACAGAAAACATGGGCACGAACGCCGCACTAGCGCAGATGGCAGACATGATCGGGTACGGGAAAAACAAGATACACCAGAGACCCTGAGATCCATAAGTGGGTCCACAGTTTTTCAATTTTTGCAAACTTCAACTGTGACAGGGCGAAGTTCCGTGAATGGAGCGAGCAGCTGCTCAATGTATTAGCCCATGCCTTGAGAAGAAAAGAGAGGAAAGCCAAAGAGAATAAAACGACGCCCTTGACGAGGATGAGAACACCAAGCTCGACGCAGACTTGTGGTACATTTCCACTGGAACAGTGGAAAGCAGCGAGGCGCGAGGCAAGCTGCGCGGTCTGAGAGAGGGTGAAGGGCTGATTGCGTGCACGAAATATGAATATGAATGCACATATGAAGCACACACATTTATATACACATATGTATATGATATATGTTTCATATACAATCATATCTGTATACGTATATAAACATACATGCGCACACATTATATTTTAATACCGTAGCACCCCGCAGATGCGGATGAGAGTGAGGGGGCGGTGAGGACGTCGGCAGTCTGCGAGACTCTGGAGAAGCCCGCGGCAGGCGCCAAAGTTTCACTAATTATACAACGAGTCCGCCGCAGGGGTCGATTTGTTTCTTCAAACCAATGTGGATCGGTCGCGAGTGGGTCGCGGGTGGGTCGCGGGTGGGTCGCGGGGTGGTTCGCGTGTGGGTCGCGGGATGGGGTCGCGGGGTGGGTCGCGGGTGGGTCGCGGGTGGGTCGCGGATGGGCCGCGGGGTGGGTCGCGGGTGGGTCGCGGGGTGGGTCGCGGGTGGGTCGCGGGTGGGTCGCGGGGTGGGTCGCGGGTGGGTCGCGGGTTGAGTCGCGGGTGGGTCGCGGGAGGGGTCGCGGGGTGGGTCGCGGGGTGGGTCGCGGGGTGGGTCGCGGGGTGGGTCGCGGGTGGGTCGCGGGGGGGACGACAACAAACAACAATAACAACGCAACAAGCAGAATCCTCACCACAGATTCTCAATTCAGCCACGCACCCAGGGACAATGAACGACCGTTCGGCCCCCTCACTCACTCACACACACACACACACATCTTATACATACATATATATATATATATATATATACATTGTAGTGGCCTCCGGCCAGTGCCGCCGATCCGGGGCGCTCTTGATGCTATTGTTGTTGAAATGAACGATGACGACGACAATGGACGACCAACGGTCGACGAGCGGGATAATTACGACGGCGACCGACGAAGGAGTTAATGACGACGAACCGACGACGACGACGACGACGACGACGACGACGACGACGACGACGACGACGACGACGACTACGACGACGACTGACGGCGAACGGCTGCCGACGGCCGACGACCGACGACTGGTGACGGCGACGGGTGGAAGGTTCTTCGTTATTCGCTTTCGCTTCCGAGCAATACCAAGTCAGGCCGTGCACCTCTGGCCTGGCAGCGCGCGAGTGAGCGCCTCTTGGGGCCTCTTGGTTCTTGGGGCTTCTTGGGGCCTTTGGGGCCTTTGGGGCCTCTTGGGGGCCTCTCGGGGTCCTCTTGGGGGCCTCTTGGGGACCTCTTGGGGGCCTCTGGGGGCCGCGTGGGGGCGCCTCGGGGGCATCTTGGGGGCTCTTGGGGTCATCCTGGGTTGGAGGACTAGAACGGTCCGTTCGCGTTCACCCTCTTTGAGGCCATCTTGGGGGCCCCTCGGGGTCGTCTTGGGGGGCCTCCAGGGCTATATTGGGGCCCTCTTGGACCGTCTTGGCTCCTCTTGGGGGCCTCTTGAGCTGTCTTGGGGCGATCTTGGGGGCTTCTTGGACCGTCGTCGGCGCTTCTAAGACGGAAACGGCGATAATGTCAAACTGCTTCAAAACCTAATAGCAACTTTATTATTGAACCCTCTTGGGGCCCTCTTGGGGGTCCACTTGGGATCTCCTTGAGGCGTCTTGGATGCCTCTTGGGCCGTCTTCAGGCCATCTTGGGCGTCCAGGAGCGCTCTTGGGTCGTTTCGGGCGCCTCCTGGACTCTTGGTGGCCTCCTGGGCCCCTTTTGGCCCGTCTTTGGGCGGTTTGGGATTCCCGGGGGGGGGGGGGAAGAAAGCGTGGACCCGATGAATCCCCCACCCCCCCCTCCCCTCCTACCCCGGCAGAGCCACCCCGGCTCCCCCCCAGCAGAGCTGAAGCTCAGGTTGTAGGTTTCTTAAACTCACACGCCGGATCGGCGGACATATATATATAGATATATATATATATATACACATATATATAGATATTGTTGTTCCATCAAGAGCCTACACCAAGAGGTTGAGTTCAGTGTACATGAGAGTACTGCGGAGAATCACCGGCAACATGAGGTTCGATGCTGCGGACAACTTGACGGACTACGAGGTTCGGGTGCGCTCGGGTCAGCCGTCGACCGATTGTCTTATCCAGAGAATGCGCCTTCGCTATCTCCGGAGGCTCTTCGATGGTAGTGCTCCGGATCTGTGCGCTGTGCTCCATACGACTACCAACGGAGGGCACCATCTTCCATGGGTCAATTTGGTGTTGGAGGACCTACGAGTGCTACAAAAACAAGTTCTGAGTCGATCTCATTTTCTTCTGCCGGATCCAAAAGACGACCCAAAGACATGTCATTGCTTCATAATGGGTTGTGGCAGTCTCTGGCCGGCACTTGTAGACCAGCTCCATTATGTTGAATCTGTTGCTGATGCCGCTGCCTGTCCAGGAGCAGTGGCTCGCCCCTTTGTGTGCGAGGAGTGTGCCACGGCTGGTGTTGTGCCAGCTCCTTCTTTTGCTTCAGAGAAAGCTTTACACTCCCACATTCGCGCTCGCCACAAGCGCAAGTGCCAAGCACGTTTGTACGTGGACGATACGGCGACGTGCCCAATCTGCAAAGTCAAATTTAGCACGAAGAGCGATCGCCCACCTGAGCGATAAGCGCAGGACGAAGTGCTCGTCCCAGCTTTCCTCGATCACGCCACTGTGTCCAGATTTGGTGGCTGAGCTTGATCGCCGGGATGCTGCTGCGCGCCGGGCTGCGTGGAAGGACGGCCACACGCAACCGTTGTCCACCAAACGGGCCACGACAAGAGAAGGCAAACGAATTGGTAGAGTCACCATGGCTTGGCTTGAGTGCTCTGTCTGTATTCATAATGTTAAGCGGTATCTTGAACTTGAGACGCCTTTGGCAACCTTGCTCAATACAATACAATATATATATATATATATATATATATATATATATGGGCTTCGCCCCCTGCCGCCAGCCTCCTCTCTATCATAATGGGATATGTCAGAGTCGCGTCGGTGCGCCTCGGCGCTGCCTTGGCGCATCTGGCAACAGCATGCGGGGGCGGATAAGAATCATCAGCGCGTATTGAGACGATGGCCTTATCGCAGACGCCTACGGCGAGTCACCGCCGCTCCCTGCCCTTTC